GGGGACAAGAGGGTTCAGGAGTGAGTGGATCGGGAGACCTGTCCTTGCACTGGGAGGACGTGTGGATTGGATCGCCTAGGTTGCTCGGAGTAGGGCAATGAAGGATCCCAGGACCCGTGGGCATTGCCCAGTTTTACAAGAAGCTTCCCCCTCCACGCACACCATTTTCATTTCTTTTACAGAGAGAGCACAAGCAGGGGGAGCTGCAGGGAGCCTGACACGGGGCTCGATCCCAGGACCCTGGGATCACAACCTGAGCCCAGGGCCGATGCTCAACCGACTGAGCCACCCTGGCGCTCGCTCCCACGCCCATCAGTTTAGATGTAATCGGCATGGTAAAGGCTGTTCTGGAAAGTCAGAGGACAGTGATAAGACTGGGAGCAGGAAGCCCAGGCCCCAGACAGCCCCGGGCTTCCTCGTGTGGGTTTGTCCGCGTCTTAAGGAGCAGCGGCAACCCACAGCAGCATGAACAGCCCTTGGCCCTGGGCCGGGTTCCAGAGGCGTCCCTTCTGTTTACTCCTTTTTCTCTTCTCAGTCGCCTGCCTCAAGATTCTCCTCAGCAAAGGCCTGGGTCTGGGCATCGTGGCTGGGTCGCTGCTGGGTATGTACCTGGTCTTTCCCCCATGTCAGGAGGAGGGCGGAGACCCGAGATGCCAGAAGCTGGGTGGGTCCCTTCACCGGAAGTGGAGGTAACAGGCCTCCCAGTCCACTCCCTGGCCGTGGTGCGGTGCTCCCGAGGGATGCTGGCTCCTCCTCCCTGCCCTTCTTGTTCTTTCTCTAGTAAAACTGCCGCAGGTGTTTAAAATCCTGAGAGCCAAGAGTGCCGAAGGGTTGAGCCTTCAGTCAGTACTGCTGGAGCTGGTGGCACTGACGGGGACCATGGTCTACAGCATCACCAACAACTTCCCCTTCAGGTGAGGGAGCCCGCCCTTGACCCCCAAGGGTGAATGTGCACACGTCTAGTGGGGGTCAGGGTGAGGCAGGGAAGGGGGCGGCAAAGCTTAAGTCCTTCTGGAAGTCTGGCCGTCTTCTGTGAACGTGATGAGGAGAGGAGGGCATCCCAAGGGTGCCCAGGATCTAGACCCGAGTCCATCAGTCCGTCCCCACAGGACGGGGCTGCGGACTACAGGGAGTCATCAACAAACTGTGGCCCCAGCTGGACGGGCCATGGAGGCTTTCCCTGCCTCTTTCCAGGCCCGCCTTTCTCCCTCCCAACTCTTGACTCTGCAGCTCTTGGGGTGAAGCCCTGTTCCTGATGCTCCAGACAGTCACCATCTGCTTCCTGGTCCTGCACTACAGACGACAGACCGTGAAAGGTGCTGGGGGGCGTGGGGGGGTGGCTCTTGGGGGCCCTGTTGGGAACTCCGGCCAGAGGCTCATCGGGGCTCCTTACCTCCCTGACCCCCAGGTGTCACCTTCCTAACGTGCTATGCGCTGGCCCTGCTGTTGCTGCTGTCCCCACTGACGCCCCTGGCCCTCGTCACCCTGCTCCAGGCCTCCAACGTGCCTGCTGTGGTCTTGGGGCGGGTGAGGGCTGGGAGCGAGGGAAGGATGCTGGGCGGGGGGTGGCAGGTGTGAGGAGTCCAGACGGCGGAACGAAGGTTCTCAAACTCTCCCCCAGCTGCTCCAGGCCGCCACGAACTACCGGCACGGGCACACGGGCCAGCTCTCAGCCGTCACTGTCTTTCTGCTCTTTGGGGGCTCCTTGGCCAGAATCTTCACGTCCATTCAGGTGAGTGCCCCTTCTCCTCTCTAGGGGGCACTAGAGCCCGGCCCTCGCTCCGCCGCCGCCGCCTTCACGCTGCTCCTTCTCTGAACACTTTCTGGGGCCCCCGCTGTCCGTCACGCAGGAGACCGGAGACCTCCTCATGGCGGGAACCTTCGTGGTCTCTTCCCTCTGTAACGGCCTCATCGCTGCCCAGCTCCTCTTCTACTGGAACGCAAAGCCCCCCCGCGAGAAGAAAGAGTAGGGCTGAGCTGGCTGCTGCTGGAGCGCCTGCTGTGTCGCCCGCCGTCCCCGTCCGGAACCAGCCTGCTGGTGGGACCTCCCCTCCTTCATCCCTCTGCGATTGTGAAAGTCTCGAGCCGGGGTCTTAGGGGGACCGCGGATCCCCGGAAAGCACGGGGGTAGGGCTCTCAGGCTGACACTACTGCCCTGTGCACGGAGTATGAACTCGCTGAATCGTTTGCCTGAGACTCCTCCTTCAGCGCCATTCCCACCTATTTAGGTTTTCTGGGGCCCAAGTCGGCCCTGCCCGCCCCCTCTCCCCACGTCCCTGCGGCCCTAGAGGGCAGAGCCGCCGGTGGAAGCAGCTGGGGGCTTGGGGCTGCCTCCCTCCCCGAGCCCGGCTGGGACGGTCTCCAGGACCCCAGTGCTGGGTGGGGAGTGGGGGGATGGAGAATGACTCAGGCAGGGCCCCAGGGTGGGGTGAGGAGGTGCCTGCTCTGGCAGGTCCAGGCGGAAGGGAGTGGGGACTGCTGGTTCCTGCCGCAGTGAGGGGAACAGACATGGGGCAATAAAGACTCCGAGACAGGGTTTAATTG